ATCTATCTATCTATCTCTATCTGTATATCTGTGTTGCATCTAGTTGGAAGACTTGAAGGCACACAACAACAACACAGATATACAGATAGAGATAGATAGATGCAACATGTGTGTGTGTGTGTGTCTATATGTTGCATCTATTTATCTGTATCTGTATATCTGTGTTGTTGTGTGCCTTCAAGTCGTTTCCAACTATGCAACAATAGATAGATGCAACATACACACACACAAACACATATACATATGCAACAGATATACAGATACAGATAAATAGATGCAACATACACACACACACACACAAACACATGTTGCATCTATCTATATCTGTATATCTATGTTGTTGTGTGTCTTCAAGTCATTTCCAACTTCTGGAGACCCTATCATGGAGTTTTCTTGGCAAAAATTGTTCAGACTTGCCATTGCCTTCCCCTGAGGGCTGAGAGAGTGTGATTTGGCATTGCCTTCCTCCAGGGCTGAGAGAGTGTGACCTGCTCAAGGTCTGGCAGTGGGTTTCGTGGCTGAGCAGGGAATCTAAGCCTGGACTCCAGAGCCATAACCCAGTACTCAAACCACTATGCCACACTGGCTCTCTCTGTATATCTGTATTCATCTCTTTCTCTCTCTCTTTATATTGCTTTTTTAGCATTAGAAACTTGTATCTACACAGAACCCTGTTAGAAAGCAGAGTCTCTCAGGGCCCTTAGGCACAGACTTTCCTTTTCAACACTGAGGACCTCCTTCCTCCACAAAGCTGGATGAAGATATGGGGAAGGTCTGAGCTACATTAACTTTTAGATGCCCCATAATAGTACCAAAAAAAGAGAGCAATTATTGTGAAGGCTGGTGCTGGTTTTCTATTTGTCTTGTTCTTTTGTTCTTAGAGACCTTACATAATCAGAGAAGAGGCAGTGGTTTGAGACCTGGACTCAGGCTGCATCTACGCTGCAGAATTAATGCAATTTGACCACACTTTCATTGCCATGATTCAATGCTATGGGATTTTGGGATTTGTAGTGTTGTGAGGTGTTTAGCTTTCTCTCTCGGAGAGATCTGGTGCCACAACAAACCAGATATCCCAGGCTTCCATAGGATGGAGTCATGACAAAGTGGTGCCAAACTGCATTGATTCTGTAATATGGCAGCAGCCTAAGTCTTTGGGAGACCAGGTTTCAATCCATGTGCGGCCACAGAAAGCCACTGGTGTCTTTGTGTAAGTCACACTCCCTCAGCCTCAGAGGAAGGCAAAAGCAAAACTCTTTTGAACCAATCTTGCCGAGAAAACTCTGTCATAGGCTCACCTTAATGTCTCCGTAAATTGGAATGGCTTGAAGACACTCAGCAGTGGAAATCCAAACCTGGATTCCTCACTCCCACATCCACGTGAGACAGTGTGATGTAGTGGTTTGTGTGTCAGAATATGATTTTGGGAGGTCTGGATCCAAATCAGCCTTGGAAACCACCTTGGGTAAGTCCCAGTCTATGCGCCTCAGAGGAAGGCAATGGCAAATCTCCTCTGAACAAATCTTGCCAAGGAAATCTCAAGATAGGGTTGCTACAAGTCAGACTCATGAAGATGCATATAGCAAGAACAACAAACAACACCTATGATACAATGCTTAGATTGTAAAGCTAGGACAAGGGAGATTCAAGATTCAAATCCCTAGGCAGCCATGAAGCTCACTGGCTTATTCTGAGAGTGTCACTAGTCCTCAGTTGAGCCTCCCTTGCATGGTTGTTGTGAGGGGTAAACAAGGAGGAAGAAGCATGCCCCTTCCTTGAGCTATTGAATGTAGTAACAGGTGGTTGAGTGTCTGAAATGCTTGGGACCACAAGTGGTTTGTTTTTTTATTTTGGAGTTTTTCAAATTTTGGAATAATATACACATTATGAGATATCTAGGAGATGGGGCCCAAGTCTAAACATGAAATTCATTTATGTTTCGTATATACTTTACACACATAGCCTGAAGGAAATTTTATACACAACATTTTTAATAGTTTTGTGCAGGACTCAAACTTTGTGTACATCGAGTCATCAGAAAGCAAAGGTATCACTGTCTCAGCCACCCATGTGGACAATTTTGGATATTGCACTATTTCAGATTTCAGAATTCCAGATAAGGGAGACTCAACCTATATAATTATTTTTATTTTTCAGAATCAATCACGAGGAAGGCAACTTTTCTCTGCCAAGAACTACCTTCCCTTGCAGGTAACCTGTTTGGGGGTCTGCATCCAGGTGGTAGGTGCGGTAAGAGCCAAAAGTGGATGGGACAAGTCTTTTCTCCTTCTGCCATGTCCCTTTCTCTCCCTTTTCTTTTTTGTCCAGTGGGCATCCAGGACAAGAGACAGATTACTCATTTCAGTGGTCTGAACAGGGCCCTTGTGGAAGAGTTTGTAAATTAAGTTGAGGGACATATGTGGCCCTACAGCACAGGTTGACCTGGTGAAAAATATGAATATTCTATAACCCAATGTATTCCTGCTGTAAATTATAGTTTTGCCATGAGTAGTGAGTTGGGTCTGTGTCACCAGACAGATGGGTTTTGAAGTCCTTGTTAGCATCAGGACCAAATACTAAGACCTGTCAAGTGACATGGGATGCATCTGCACTGCAGAAGTAATGCAGTTTGACACTGCATTATTTCTTTAACTGCTATGGCTCCAATTTATGGAATCTTGGGATTTGTAGTTGTTGTGGCGCCAGAGCTCTCTGACAGATAAAGCTAAATATCTCACAAAGCTACACATCCCAGAATTCCACAGCACTGAGCCATGGCAGTTAAAGCCATGTCAAACAGCATTATTTCTGCAGTGCAGATGCAACCGTAGAGAAAGCTAATTTGTATTAGTGATTTTGTCAAAATGCTTGCTGCATTTGCTTGGCAGTTTGAGGCTAGGAAGCAATAGAAAAGTTGAGAATGGCCTGGAAGAGTAATTTTTTCTCTGTTACTAACCTGCTTGTACAGCTTTCATAGCTATTGGGATGAGATGGATCAGGGGCATCACTAGGGGGTGGGGGGGCCCCACACTGGGTGACACCCTGGAAGAAGGCTGATGGCTACTAGAGCCCTGGTAGCGCAGTGGTTAAATGCCTGTCCTGCAGCCACTCACTCATAGACCACAAGGTTGCGAGTTCAATACTAGCCAGGGCTCAGGCTAGACTCAGGCCTGCATCCTTCCGAGGTAGCTAAAATGAGTACCCAGCTTGTTGGGGAGCAATCAGCTCACAGTTGTAAACCGCTTAGACACCCCATAGCGTGGTATGAAGCGGTATATAAATGAAGCTGCTTTTGCTTTGCTTTACCTGAGCCCTCCTCCTTCTGCGAGGTGAGAAGGGCCCAATGCACCCATCCCATTTTTGCCGTGGCTGCAGAGTCCTCCTCGTGAGGAGGGTGCTGCTGCAGCAGCAAAGGAGACCCAAGTGTGATCTTCTTAGCTTTGTCACAGCAGTGGAGGTCTCCTCATGTGGATGACTTTGCCACTGTGGCAAAAGAGAAGTCCAAGTGTATCCTTTTAGCTACTGCCCTTCCCCCTGCACTGGGTGACACCAGGGATGTGGATGGCACTGAGATGGATTGCACTTTCGGCACTTTGATTTTGTTTGCTTCTGTACTGTATGATCCTTGAGAATGTATTGGTCTTGCCCTGGCGTTGTGTGTGCATGAGGAATTGCACTGTTGGCCAGTATAGCCTGGGTAGAATTAGTTGTTTAGAATTGGCTATAAGGGGATGCTGGACCTCATCAACAAAAGACCCAAAATGTTTCTCTGCTGTAGACTACCTGCTGTATCATTTACCACCAGTAAAGCTTATCTTATAACAGTAACATGTGTCTGTGTTCAGTACCAAATAAAGTCTTGGAGAGGCATAGAGGTACACTCAGTTCCAGAACACTGTGATCATGGTTTGTGGCAGCGGACTAGAGTTGAAGAGGATCAAGGCAGTGAAATTTAGCAGATGACCTTGGACAAGCCCTCCCAATCTGACCTACCACATGCGGTTGTTGTAAAGGGGTAATGGGCATTGATGAGTCCTTGGGAGCTGAGTTGGAGAAAATAAAACAATTGTTACTGATTAAATATTTCACGTTAGCAGTGGTTAGAATCTCCATCCAAGGAGATGATGTAGGTATGAGGCTTTCAAGTGGTCAGGATGCTCCAGAACCCTCCCTCTCCTTCATTTCAAGCCCCCTTTCCAGTTTCTCTCTGTAGCAAAGTGATGAGAAACACAAATATGCATGTTCTTATTGCGCTGTTCTTATCACACTGTAAATAAAAGCTGCTTGAACATACAACTGCTGTTCTGTAATTTTATGCCAGGATGAGATGGTGATATTTTAAATTTATAAATGGCATTAAAATAAAATCAATAAATGTACGTTAAGGATTACTTTGACAATAATTCATTTTTAAAGAAATATTTAAGCTGAATTTAAGTTTTGAAAACTTATATTTATTTATTTCTCATTTTAAAAAAAGTTGTGAAAAGTAGACACAATCCAATCTGAAATACGTTACAACTGAGCAGTTGTTAGTCTGATTTTTTTTTTACTTTTCTTGATTTAATTTTCTTATTTTGGGGTGAATTGCTCCTACTTTTTGGACACTCACTTCAATGGGATGTTTTAAGTAATGGGAACTTCAGTAAAACTTCAGTGAAAATTCCTTTGAAGAGGTTTAAGCTCATGTTTTGCTCTTCCATTGAAATCAGTAAGGCCTACAGATATATGTACGCACTTGACAGGGCTGGGCCCATGTGTTTAAGACCGGAATTTTAATTAAGATAGGAAGTTCTTGTTATGTTTTCTTATGTGCTTTATAGTATTTTACCTAGCCAAAGTTGCACACCATAGCCACAGACTGATTTATTTTTTTAAAAAAAATATCTGGTGATCTGAAGTTTCAAAACATTGGTGACAGCCATGTTAAGGAAATTGGTACAAGGGTGCCAGCTTGACTAGTTTTGTGGCTGTAGTGCAAGTTTTCTGGCATTCTCTTGCTAAACACATTCTAGAAGAAAGGAAGCTATTCCCTCTAAATAAGTGGTTTATAACATTAAATTTTGCAAGAGTTTCCCGCAGAAGGATGCCCTATGTTTCATGAAATTAATCCTTAAAATCTAAATGTAGGAGTAGGAATTTTGGACTGTATCCCTGAGATCCATGTGTGTCGCAGCAATTAATCGATTAGCTGTGCCTTGCCATAGAGCAAGTTGTGTGCCCAGGTCATTTCCTACTTATGATGATCCTATCATGGGGTGTTCTTGGCAAGATTTGTTTGGAGGGAGGTTACCTTTACAATCCTCAGGGGCTGAGAGAGTGTGCCTTACCCAAGTTCACCCAGCAAGTTTCCATGGTTTAGTGGGGATTTGATCCTTGGTCTCCAAAGTCATAGTACAACACTCAAACCACTACATCATGCTGGCTTAAATAGTACATAGTAAAAATAGTAAAAGTCAGAGGACCTTTTCTTTAGATAATTCCATACAATAAATATAGTAATATAAAATTAGTAGTACATGAAGCTGGTATGATGCATCTGACAGATTTCCAGAATGCAGATCTATGTATATCTTGTGGTGGATAT